CACCACCTTAGGTGTATGTGGCTAGCGCCTTAGCCACTTGAGCCACAGGTGCCGAGCCTTACACAAGGTTTCAACAAGTAACCAAATCTATACTGGATGATATCTTAATCTGCGTGACACAAAGCACCAGCTAGGAAAGGCAACCACCTACATGTCACTGATGCTACTGCCGCCTCAGGTGTTCCAGAACCCTCAGAGAAAGAGCTTTCCTCTGTCACTTTGCGGGTAACGCATTCTTCTTCACTGAGTAGCCCAGGGCCAAGGGAGGCTTCTGTCAAAGAAGGAGAATCTGTGGAAATGGCACCTAAATGGCAGAGTTAAGGCAAGAAGAGACCAGGAAGCACTTTGGAAGAAATCGGATTTGTTAGCTCACTATGATGCTGCATTAAATGAGGAGAGGTAGGGTGGAAAAATGAGCGGGAAATGGTTATGAAGCAATGTTTGATTGGCAGGCACACCTTCTCCTAATACTTCAGAATCTTCTCATTTTACTATATAATTGTAGTTGCTAACATTATTCAGTAAATTTCCTTCGTGGAACAAAATGATGTCATCGAAATCATTCCTCATTATCTAATAGTAATATTTTAATCACAGAAGAGTGAAGAATTCTTATATACATAAGGTACATTTAAATTCCACATCCCTACATGTCAGGTAAAGATGAAAGATTCCAAGAGCATTTGAATGCTTCTCAATATGCCCTGTATTTGTGAATATTAATTACAAAAATTAGGTAGAGCTATATTCATCAAATTGCCCCAAGCCTTAGTACTGGCATAATCACATTCTATTTTGGTCTGATATCACTGGTCTATTATGCTCATTTATGTCTAACCTTAAGTCTGAAGATTAAGACATTTTATCATACTCATTCTTATAACCATTACTAAATAGCTATTGAGAAATTTGGCTATAGTATTAGATAGAATTATTTTATTGTTACTGGAATTTCAATTAAGAGCCGGACACTGCAATGGGAAATATTTTCATAGTAACAAACGTTTCTCATGAAGAGTAAGATAGTTCTTATGTTGAATTCACAGCTGGAACAGTCACATAAAGAAGCTGTGCTTACACCTTCGTGTAAGTTTTCTTCTGCACACGCCAAGGTGCATTCCTCACTATGATGTGTCATTACTCTTGGGAAGGAGGTTAATAAATGTTAATCTGACATCGCCTAAGGAAAAACAGGAGACCAAACAGGGGAAGTATTCAAGGTATAATTCCAGAATGAAAACTTTGATCACTGCCAGCTTCTTACTCTAGTCCAGGCAGAGAGAGGAGAGAACTCATTTCATGATATAAAATTTAGGAAACGGGGCCAAAGAACTGCTATGGCTTTCAGAAACAGAGCATTACAACTGAATTCATTTCTCAATTATCAGGAAGGTTCTTTTTCAGTAATCAGGTAATATGGAATAAGGGCGTCCTACCTGGGCTGGGGAGCCCCTCAGCGGAGTTTGCTTCTGAGACACTGTCCGGAGAAATTCCATCTACTGACTGCATAACTAGAAGAAAGAAATGGTAGAACTTACAAAGTCACATTGGCAAATGAGTCAATTCCTTAACAGTCGGACTTATTTTTATACAGTACAGGAAAGAATGAGCCCTGAGCTTGCTAGAAGCCATTTTACTATCCAGCTGTGAAACAACTTAAATACACTTCCGTTCCTCTTCCTACATGTAGTCAATGCTGAAGCGGCAAGGTCTTTCTGAATAAATTCATGAATCATGCCATGTTTATTTCAGGATAATGGATCTGTACAATTTCACTGTTTTGTGATTTTGCATATTCTTAAAAGGCATCTAACTGAGACTATGGGATTATTTTAAAAGCCTAGGTATGTGTATTATTCTTGTTATTACAAAATTAAAAAGTCACAACTTACAACTGTATCATTTCTACTGTCTGTATTCAATAAAAACACAACATAAATTTGGTGGGAAAAGCAACATTACCCGTCACAGGGCTGCCTTCCTCAGTCTGATGCAGGGGGAGTTTGGAGGGTGGGGAAGGTGCTTTTCGCTTTGTCCTTCTCAAAGACGCATTCGCTGTGGACGTGCCCTTGAGCTGCAAGGAGCCTGTTCTCACCATGCCTGCTCCACGGGGACTCTGGAAAACAAAACCACCAAACACAACCCTGTATTTAGAAATTAACAGAAAACTTTAGGGAGACATTGAAC